TGGGGGTGACTGAAGCTCCCAACTGCTCCTTTTTTTCTTTTTTTTCTTTTTTATTCTGGGCCAGCTTTAGCATTGAGGCTTGGCTCCAGCTCTTAGGCCTCCTCTGCTGAAAGTAGGTTTCTGGTCTTTGTTTACAATGTTGCAATAATGCCTGCTGAAGTCTGGCGGTATTTGTTACATAGTTTCTTAAACTGCAGGCTCAGAGGCTTGCAGCTGCAGGCGGGGAACATTGGAGTCCTCAGTCACTGAAGCAAGCAAGCCTCATGTTAGTTTCAAGCTGCCTGGCTGCTGGCCGCCATCTTGGCTGACAGTTAATTTGCATATCTCCCTGATTAGCCAATGGGAACGGTAGTGGTAGTACGCCAATTACCATCTTTCTCTTTTATTAGATAAGGATATCTAATCATTATGCTGTATACCTGACATTAATATATGTCAATTATATCTCAATTTAAAAATAAATAATTTAATCTCTTTCTCATCCCTTATAACACTCTCACTAATTAGCTATCAGTTTATTTTAATTTTACCTGATAAACAATGAATACTAATTGAACAGATTTTATCTTTTAAAAATCTTTTTGGTTAACTAATATAGTCCTTTTGGTAGTAGCCCTGTTTGAGATGGGATAAATAAGTATAGGTACAAAGAAATTTAATTACTTTTTATAGTCACACATGTAAGCAGAAATTGATTTTCAAGAGCCTGCTCTTCTGATTGTGTTACTATGTATTCCCATCTGCATTATTTTTCTATCTCATAAGCTACTTCAGTAGAACATGCTTTCCCCACATGTTTCCTGAAGTGATGCAGTAGCCTACAGTCTAACATTTGTCCACTCTAGGTCCACATTTGTCCATATATTTTATATAAAACTAGAGGCCTGATGCACAAACTCATGCCCCAGTGGGGTCCCTCAGCCTGGCCTGTGGGATCAGGATGAAACTGGCTCTCCAACATCCCCTGAGGGGTCCCAGATTATAAGAGGCTGCAGGCCATTCTGAGGGACCCCACACATGCACTATTGGGGCCAGGGAGGGACACGGGAGGTTGAACAGCTGGGGAGGGACTGCGGGAGGACTCCAGGGCAGGTCAGGCCTGTCTCGCTCAGTTCCAATCAGCTGGACCCCAGCCGCAATGTAACCTACCAGTCAGAGAGTCTGCCCCCTGGTGGTCAGTGCACATCATAGTGAGCAATTGAGTGGCCTTAGCATATCATTAGCATATTATGCTTTGATTGGTTGAATGGATGACAGGACATTTAGCATATTAGGCTTTTAGTATATAGGATAAAATCTAGTCATAAAATATCCCTCAAGATTGTTCCCAGTTACTTCTAAGATACAAATTAAGATGCTTAGCATGACATACAAGATGCTTTGGAAAGTATCTTGTATGTCATACTAGATCCAGAGACACAGAAGTATCGAACAGACTGTCAAACCTCAGAAGAAAGGCAGGAGAGGGTGGATGGATGGGAAGAGATCAAACAACTAACTTGTATGCATATAAGAATAACCAATGGACACAGACAATAAAGGGATAAAGGCCTGGGCTGGGGGTGGGGACAGTCTGGGAGAGGTCAATGGGGAAAAGGGGGACATATGTAATACTTTCAACAATAAAGAATTTTAAAAAAGGAAAATGTTTATGTAACCCATTCATTCTTGACATCTTCAAAATTTTTTATCCCATACCTCTGCACCTTATACTTTGACCTTCCTAAATACTGACTCATCAATAATACCTACCACACATGTTCTATTTCTAGATTCCACAATATTGGGCACACTGTTTCTTTCCCCACACACTTCATTTTCAGGAAAATTTATATTTACTATTTAAAAATTTCCTTGTGTATCGTCTCAACTCTGAAGTTTTTCAGAGTACCACTCTGTTCTGTCATATACTGCCTATCTCCTTTATACCATTTCTGTTCTTTATATATATTTTCATTATCTGTGCCACTCATATTGTAAATATTCCCTTTCATGTCTAACTAGAGGCCCGATGCATGAAGATTTGTGCAAGAATAGGCCTTCCTTCCCCTGGCTGCTGGCACTGCCTTCGATCTGGCCCAGAGCCACCTGTATGCCTTCGCTCCTGGCCTGAGCCGCCTTTCCAATTTTGCTCCAGCCAGGAGCCGCCTTTTTGCCTTCTCTCCGGCTCAGAGATCCCTTTTCACCTTTGATCTGGCCCAGAGTCACCTTCTCCCTTCACACGCTGCCCCGAGGCCTGGAGCGGCCAGGGTGAGGTGGAATGCTTGAGTCGTTGCCATGTTGACGATGCAAGCATCCTAGCCAGGCCTCCGCCATCTTTGTTGCATCAATTTGCATATTCCCTCCTTATTGGTTGTGGGCACAACAATCTTTGTCATGAAGTGATGGTCAATTTGCATATTCCAACTTTATTAGATAGGGTTTCTATGTTTGACTGTGAAATCCTTGAAGCCAGAAACTTCATCTTGGTCTTTGCTGTACCTCCCTATCCAAGAGAGTGCCTGATAAACATTAGGAAGGCTATGAGCAATGATCAGATTATTCATATACATGTGTGTTTTAAACACACACACAGACACAAAGGTCTATTTAATAATGGACTTGTAGAAAGCTTAATTTCTTTCAGCTCCCCTCCCACCCTGCCTCACCCACACCACTGAAGTTTCTAGGTGATTTCTATTTTCAATGCAATATGTAAATGGGAATCAAGTCCTATATTAAAAATTGTATTTATCTCTGTATATTATGCATAAAAATATGTAATTAGTATCTTCAAGTACATAAAATTAGAAAACAACAAAATATAGTTCCAAAGCATATTGCGTTTTATGTCCTTTCCTGTTAACAAATGGTAATAATAGATAGTTATCAATATATATGACTAAAAATTATCATAGGAAACAAAAAAGAGCTCTGTTTGTTTTAATTTAAATACTACAAAGTAACTTACCCAAAGCTTCACTATAATAGGAATCCC